TAGCAAAGCCTCGAGTATGAGGTAGTTTAAAAACCTAGTGCTATGTGACTCTTCTTACTTATCCTCTAGGGAAAGGAAAAAAGTATGAAAGGATGAGAGGTGAACACTTGAGTTTCCTTAATGAAGACTACTAAGCATTAAGCATTATGACTTTTTTCCCCTCTAAAATGCAGTTATCACATTCCAACATGCCAGCTACGAAGAGCAGTTTGATAGGACACACTTTTTCCTGGTGTGAACAAGTAGTATGGCAGTTTGCAACTGCCACACTGGACTAGAGAACGTACCAAGCATATATGCAGTTATAGCAGCAAAACTATGCTTCTGCCAACACAGTGAAATTTATTTTATAAAAGTAAATGAGAAAAAAAGTTTAGGTAGGATAAAATGCATCAATATTGGGGGAATTTTCCTCATGCAATCTGCCACCAGTCTTATTGCTTTTTCTAGAATTGTAATACCACAAAGGAACTTGAGATCAAATCTACGGAACTTGATGTACATTCCCTAAGCTGAGGAAAAATAAAACAGAAAAAGAAATAACATAACTCACGCAATGACAGAAGAGCAAATTAACAGAATTCTTCTGCAATGATATATGTTGTAGATTTTGTTTAACATCCACAGATTGTCACTTCTTTGTTTCTTTCGTTTCATTATATGGCATTTATGGACAGGCATAAGACAGAGGTTGCTCGCTCCCAACCTATTTCAAGTGCTTGATCCACCTGACTGATGGATGGTGGCAGTTCTGGGCACAGATAACAGTCATGCTATTTCTGGACATACATACAGTGAAGAGTAGTACGCGGTATGAATGTTGTGTTAGTTGTAATTACTATTTCTAAATGTAAAGATTCATATTAAAAGCTGTAACCTCAAATGTTCCTGGCCAAATTAGTAAATAATATTCTGCAACATAGCACGGTAACAGGCTGCAGTTTGAACTAAAGACTGTAACGAGAACCAGTGACAGACGGCACTATTCCTTCCTTCGTGTCATCCTTTGTGTCATCCTCTCAGTCCTGCTTTTGCAGTCAAGAGCCACTAAATGCATGTGAAAGACTTCTGCCTTTACTAACAAGGCAGAGCATCTGGTGCGACAACAGAGATTCCTTTCCCTGCAGTGAAATTTTAAAGATTTCTTCTTCAAAAACAGCAAGATGACTAATTAGCAAAATTCTCAGTACAAATGCTAAACAGAAAATGCTAACATTTACACTGTTACAATGGCTAACACTTTTCTCCCAACAGGGTGTAAAAAAAAAAAAAAACAAAACCAACAAAAATCAGTTCAACAGATGTGAGATGGATCTTCTCTGCTTATGAAAGAGCTGTGATTTTTAGCAACTGACTTACACAACAGTGTATACTGGAGTTTTGTTCCAGGCCCTGAACAGAGTATCAGCATTTGAGAGAGGCAGCTGTTCGCCATGACAGCTACCACAACATCCAAAGAAATCCAACTAGCTAAGATAAGCTTAGCTAAAGCTAAGATACCCAACAGGGAGATACATGATGTCCACCACAAACACATGCAAAAAACTTGGATAGTCACTAGACTTGGAATCTAGCTGAGATTAAATCTCCTTTAAAAATATACAGGAATGTACAATTTGAGATTTTCAACATTTTTTACTCTAAAGGATCTGATAAAAAAGCCTCTGAACTCTGATGGCAGGACCACATCAGCCAATACTTTGAGAAATAACTTTCTGAATTTTCTCCTTGAAATGAGAACAATAAAACCACAGCAAGAGCTCTGCATCTCTAAAGCTTTCTTAAGAAAATACAAATATAACAAGGAAACTTTGAAACACGGAAACTCAGATCTGCTGGATGAAACATATTAAAAGCAAAGGGTTTGAAAACAAAATCATAGCCTGTGCCTTTGAGGGGATGGGATCTTCCTTTCATACTTTCTCTGTTTGGCAAGTTTCATCCATTTCATGGATTGAAACAAGTATCACATGGTTCTCCGAGATGTTGCAGAAATTCTTTGCGTCTTAGCAGCCAAGTGAAGACTTGAGGTATTTTTCTGAGCCACACCAGCAGTTACTCATTAGTGTGCAACTGTTCACTGCAACAAATAAAATGCTATCAGCATTCCCAGATCTCCTGCAGCAAGCAAGTATGCAAACAGCCCATATAGTTGCTGGGTTCTGAGCTACACATTTATGAGATTACCCTTTCATTTCAGTCTAGCACAGCAGGACCCACTTCACTTCCATGACAATCCAGATGGAGCACTTAAGGACTTGAAAACAAACTATTTCAGTAATAAAAAAAAAAAACCATACAGACATAGCACCTCCCCACGATCAGCAGATTTCATCTAGGCATGAGGGGAGTCAAAACAAACAAGGATACAATTATTCCTTAACTTTTTATAAGCTACTATTAATAGAAGAAAGCATTACAACAGAGCTCATAAAAATTAATAAGGCATAAACACTGTTGACATAATATGCAGAATAGCAGGATTTACTTCATCATTATTCTTTTCATGAGACGTTGGTAACCTACCACTGATGCCTGTAAACTTGTTACTCAGAATTCACAGTTCACAGCACTAAAATATCATTTGCCCTCTCCATCTCAAAAACAATTTATTAGCACTACAGAAGTACTACAAAAAGCTTTCTGCAGGTGATGAGAGTTAAAATCAATAAACAAACAAAAAATCCCTTTGATCTCTACTGTTATTTCCCTCTTAAATGTCACCATAACTAAAAAAGCACTCCAGTTAACAGACACTAGGAATGTTACAATTCTTAATGAAATATTGAACTGTTTTCCAAATGTCAAATTTTTGACTAGTTAAAACACACACATGCACACACACACACAAAAACAGATTCCCACAAGGGATTTCCTTTTTCTCTTCATGGGGATTTCTCTTTTTTTCCACATAGTTAGTAAAATTCTTTTGAACACATTAAAGCAAATATAAAAACACATGGTGCCAGGATTCATTTGTTGTAAAACAGTATACTAACTTGTCCCCCATAATAAAATCACTAGTTAAGATTGCAAAAATAGAAGCGTGGTTTTTTGAAACTCTATTTCCAGTGTCAGTTCCTTGTAATAAAACCCTTATCTGCCAACTTCACCGACCAACAGTGTTGCTGAAAAAACAATAAAAATTACACCTAAAATCTTACCCACCTTGCACACGATTGAAACAGCTATATTTCACAAGTGAACACTGTATGATGCACAACTTGCATTTCAAACACAAAAACATATCAGTTAAATTGAAGAAGTCTGCAAAACAGTAGGCTTGCTTTCTAAATCCTGACACAATTTTTAATTATTAGGGCTCATGTATCATTCTTGGCTCTAGGCATGGGAGGCAATTGATAAAGCCAAAGGAAAGATTTAGATTATTTTCCTCTTTAAAGATCAGCTTGCACTAGAAGTAGAGGTTTAAGTCAACTCGTATTTCCACTATCATCATCCCTTCCCAAATACTGAATAGCCCTACCCACCAGTCTTCCTGTAACGAAGAAACTACATTATGCATTTTTCACAACACAAAAATGTTGATGAAATTCCATACATAAGTGATATTTATTATCAGAATTACCATTATTCTTACTGGAATCCTCTCCTATTTCACCTTACTGTTGCTGCATATGACTGAGAAGTCTGCCTTCCTGCTCTTTTCCCTATGAAATACATAAAAGCAAGAAGCAAGAGTATATCTAGAAGGCACATTTGCTGACAGTCCGGTGTTCTGTATAAAATGTTGAATTATGGGGTGCAATGGAAACATCAAAATAATTTCTACTACTGTCCAGACATTAACACTTGCAACTCCACCTGATCTTAAAATTATTTTCTTTGGTCAGTTTAGTCCAGCTCTTTATACTGTATATTTCATTTAAAATATTGCACAACTGAGAAGGTTGTATGGTTACCATGTCTTGGTTGCTGCACTCTCGCTCAACTCCAGCCTCTCCAAGAGCAGTCAGGCTTGGCAAGCTCTGCAGGACCTTCTCAGTAGGGGAGGAGGGCTGCAAGGCAGCTAAGAGAGCGCTGACGTGCCTACAGGGAACCTGCAGCAGGTATACATACTGGAAGACTTGCAAGAGGAGAAGGCTGTTCAGCAGTGGCCCAGAAGCATACTGAATTAAAGTGGTCATGCAACCATAGCCTCCATGACAGCATGATTTCTGTAATAAGAATAGCTGTAGTGGTCAGAGCAAAGGCTTGTCTGTGATTCTGTGTGGTTATATGGCTCCTCAGACCCTTATCAATAACACACACCTATGAAGGTGCCAACAGTGAAACCACACAGATATTTCCAAGGGTACTCCTGTGCCTCCTGCCAGGGCTCCAGGCAAACAACCAAGCTGCTGAGCAGGCCCAGGCCTGAGCTTAAGCTAAGAGAGCAGGGTACAAGAAACTGCTGGATGTGACAGATAACAACATGAGAAGTGACAGAATTCACAGACAGTGCCATAAGGAACAGCTGGATTTCACAGCCAGTTACATGAGAACAGCCAAACTTTACAGCAAACTGAGGGGGAGTACCGGGTACCTTTTGGGGAACAGAATTTTGCCAGGCCAGCAGTTGCTTGTAATATTAGTAACACCATATAAACCTGAATTCCCCTTGGCAACAGTATCAGAAATACCGATTTGGATACCCATGTGACAAAACCAATGAGGACAAAGTAATTACGAGTGGGTTGTTGGAAGAAGACTGAGTTAGGAAAGAAAGGTACAAGGAAGTGAAATGGAGGGTCAGAAAACTGGAAAAGCTGTATCAAGGTATGTAAATGATATGATCACTGCTGTCTGGGAATATATGCTGGGTGGCTCTGCACTTGAACATTGCAGCCTCAATCAGGACAAACCAAACCTGTTGTTCTGAGTGTTCCACGTGCTGTGAAACCTGCCTCTGTGGTCAGGACGGATGGAATGGGAGCTTTCCCTGGCTGGCAGGGTGGATCAAGCACCTTTGCATCACTGTGTCAGTCTCCATGCCATACCTTGGTGAGCGTCTACCCACATCTTAACGCTTCCAAGAACATTCTCCCAGCTCCTCAACCTTCTGGTTTAAGGACTTTCTGAGTAAGAAGTTGCATCTATGTATTTAACAGCACTCGGGGATTTTTCTTCCATGAATTTGTTTGATGATGTCTCGAGTCACATAAAACATCAGCAGATGCAATGTCCTGTGACAAAAAATACCAGGAACTGAATCACAAGATCTACAAAAGCATCCTAAACCTCTAAGCAAGCAAGGTGAAACCCACATGAGTGCTGACGAGTGCAATGCATTATCCATATAGCAGACAGTCTGAGAGAATAGTTTGTTCTTCTAAAGTGTACAAATGCCAAGCCTACTTAAGAAACGTGTTACCAGATTCCATGTATCTGCTGGGATCGTCAGCCCCGTAGTGGTGGAAATATAAATTCGCCTTATCTCTGCTTCTGCTATACTCTTCTTCCACAGAAAAATGGATATAACATTTTAAAAATTATTCCCCCTAAAAATAGTTATGAGTATTTATCACAGACTGGTGAAATGGCCCAGCTGTACAGTCCAGCCTGCAAAAATAAATTCTGATATGGCTTGAAGGATCTTGAACAGTAAGTGAAAATACAAATATGACATTTAGAAACCAAGAATTCTAGTATTCTGAGCAATATGGACTAACTTCAGGTTTTAGAAATTGCAAATTGCTAGGCATCCAGCTAAGGCCTGAAAACGTGCATAGTCTGGGCAACTGGGATAAACATGACAAAAAGATGTTGGCTGTCCTTGTTTTTACAAATGTTAAGACTAGGGTGACCATATTCTCTACTAAGCATCAAAAGACGACTTAAAATTCCCTTGTTAGTTTTCCTCCCTAGCCCCCACGTCATCTCCCAGTCAATTAATGACATCACCAATGACATTACGAGCTTCACGTGCAATAACCCAGCCACTTGCAGGTCCAACAAATTTGCACAGAGTACTGTGGGCCAGGGCAAGTATGAAAACAGGCAAATGTCATGAAGGAGTCAGAGAACTCAAGCAATCATTCAAACATTTTGATACAATGTCATTAACATCCGTGATTTCCGTTTTCCATTAATCATGCCAATCAACAAGATGTGAGAGTCAGTGTTCTCCCTCTAAACTCACCATGAATTTCACATTTCATTCACTGAGTATTGTCACTATTCATCTCCATGGAAACAGTTGTGATGGGAAAAACTCACTGGTATATTGTATCACCGACTGATTCAGACAAGATGATTCTAATTAAAGAAGACTCTTTCTAAATATACACACAGCCTGCAAAACAGCAATACTAATAAAATATTTTTTAAATGGTCTTAAAATATAGGCAGATTTTTATTAAAAATATTAAGACAGTCTCACGGACCGATGCACAGATTTACAGTAGAGAGTACATTGATCAAAACCCCTCCTTTACTTAAACCAAAACAGTTCAAAAATTCTTGCTGACTCAATGTCTATTATATATGTTTTTAAATGACAGCTGGCGAGTAATACCAATTAACCACTGCAAACTTGCAAATAACTATATATACCATGCAAACTTTCCACATACAATAAGACTCCTACATTTTTTCCAATGCTTGCAGATGTCCCATGACATTTACTGCTAATAAAAATTGCAAATACACAGTAGAAACACACTTACAAACAGGAAATAGGCCCTATGTGTCCCTCTGTGTAATTACGAGAGTGCTGCCATGAAGTGCCCTCCATACAGCCATCCTAGCTTTCTCTTAAGATATTTTCACAGCTAGCTGACTCTTCTTTAAGCCACTCACTTGTCTCTGGGATATACATACACATTCATAAACCTCACCAAATATGAAAGGGCATGAACTAAACCCAGAAATCCACTGTGGAATTCTCTATCACAGTATCTGATTTTCAGTCTAAGTAGTCACTCTAGATATTAAAGGTTTACTTAAGGATGAAAGGTATTCCAGAATTTCAGGCTGACAACCAATTCCCAAATAGCTCCATACGCATTCAGCTCCTATCTTTGTTTCCACGTTAATTAGGATAAATTTAGAAAACATAAATTACATATTTGATTTTTCTCTTTAGTGAATATGAACATTAACGTAGAGCAAAAAAGGAATCTTTACTTAAACTGAAAACGACATCAAAGTTACATGACATTTCAAGGTCCAAAAAGTACTGTATAAAAGTTGGGAGAGCGGGACCATGTCATACACAAAGAACCCGTATCAATGTGTCCTATTTCTTGGATGCAGCAGGACTTTGATAGAGTATCTTCAAACACAAGCCGTCATCTCCTCTGGAAAGGGCTTCTTAACCTCAGGCAGAGCCACTCTGCTGCAATCGTACTCTTCCCAGGTCTGGTGCTAGCTTGGACTCCCCGCTTCTGCCACCTTCTGCACCACACTTCACTGCACAACATTAACACGTTCTTACATGCCTATAGCAATTTTTAGACAGACTCTAAGAAAGCCAAGTATTTCAGATTAATGCATTCATAGTACCAAAATCAAAAGCCAGAAAAACTTCTTTACTTTGAGGGTGACAGAGCACTGGAACAGGCCGCCCAGGGGGGTTGTGGAGTCTCCTTCTCTGGAGATATTCAAAGCCCACCTGGATGAAGTCCTGTGTAACATGCTCTAGGAGAACCTGCTTTAGCAGGGGGGTTGGACTAGATGATCTCCCCAGGTCCCTTGAACCCCTGTCATTCTGTGATTCTGTGTGATTCTGTGATTATGTGCTATTAAAATTCACTTATGGGTTTCATATTAATAAAGATGATACCACAGCTTGTAGTAATTATTGACAAATTTATAGTATTTGGAATCCAATGTATTAGTTTGACGCAAGACACTAAATTTTCATACATACAGTAGTAACACAATACAAATCAAGTGTAAATGTAAGCAAGTTGTTCAAGTAATAAACATGCTTCAAGTTTGACAACCAGAAGAAAAGACTAGTGGGAGGAAAGATCTTTTCTCCTGCTACCATCTCAAAAGGGATTTAAACTTTTTCTGCATGACTTACTGTCTTCTACATTCAAAATTTTTAATTCCACCAACTCAAAGGGTTTTTTTTTTATCAGCTCAAAAGTATGCACTCTTTACAAGTAATGTCGTGTACATAGTTATGCAAAATAAAAAAAAAACCACTTCTAACTTAAGTAAAATTCAAAGCAATTACCAATGACAGGTGGAACTATTTTGTTGCAATGCCAGCACAAACATGCCCCTTTTAGATGCTTCTTAAAAACTATGCACAGGTTATATGTGCAAAAATGTGTCCAAATTATTAAGACGATATCATAGTTACTGAAAAGAAAACTAATAAACCTGATAGAGTAACTGGCATCTCAGGTGCTTCCCAACTACTGCAAAACAAGACATGAGATATATTCAGGAAGACATAAAATTTATAAGCGCAGAAAGGAAATACTTCAATATGCAATATGATGGAAGTGTGGAAGCTATCACAGAAAGGCACCACTAATCAAGAAGAAAAGCAATTTAAAATTAGTTTGTTTTTCTTGCAACAGCCAGTTAATACACAGGTCTCACAATTAACAGAAGTAATTTTGGAAGACATTTGATATTGGCCATTTCAAAATATATGCTAATGACCTACAAAAAGATCAAGTCTGTGTAGAACCAAAGAAGTAAACAACCTTCCTGTTCTGGAATGCTTCTGCTGATTTCTCAGATGTAAGATTTGATAAAATATGACAATTCTATGCTACTATTTAATATTAAATTGTGTCCAACTGACAGTAGCTTTGCATCACTAACAAAATTAGCTCTTTTAATTCTGATGTCTAATACATGACTTTTTGACATTAATACATTGAATTTTCTGATAAATATTTTATTATTTTGTTTCTCTAAGCCTTTTACATACAGTGTTATGAAGCACCCAGCAGGGAATTTTATTCCAGAAGTATGCAAGCTTTTCTACAACCTATATATCTTTTTATTCTCCATATTTTCTAACTTTTCTAACATTAAACATTATGCGTATTTACTATGCACTACAATTTAACATGAATACATAACTCAAAAGAGCCTGTTTTGTTATAAACAGTTCTTAAGATTATTTCATTTCATAATGAAATATGAGCACATTAAAGAAAAAAATAAAAAAAAGAACAACAGTGTGCAATGCTGAACTGTCACAAAATATAATTATGTCCTCATCTCATTGTTTGTAAGGATCATGTAAGGTCTTCAGGTCAACAACTACCTTTATTACTTCATTTTAGACAAGCAGAAAGGGGGTCCTAATCAGCAGCATCCTTAATCCCTAGAAGGATAGATATAACATCATGATTTCTTGAGTGCTCTTTTCTTCATAAATAAATGTACATAAATTATGGGATAAAGATATTATCATACAGTCATAGAACAGTTCAGGTTGGAAGGGACCTTTAAAGGCCATCTAGTCCAAGCCCCCCTGCAATGAGCAGAGACATCTTCAATTAGATCAGGTTTGTCAGAGCCCCGTCCAACCTGATGTTGAATGTTTCCAGGGATGGGGCACCTACCACCTTGCTGAGCAACCTGTCCCAGTGTTTCACCACCCTCATCATAAATAAATTCTTCCCTTTATCTGCTCTGAATCTATGCTCTTTCAGTTCAAATCCATTACCCCTCGTCCTATCGCAACAGGCCCTACTAAAAAGTTTGTCCCCATCTTTCTTATAGGCCCCCTTTAGGTATTAAAAGACTGCAATAAGGTCTCCCCAGAGCCTTCTCTTCTCCAGGCTGAACAACCTAAACTCTCTCAGCCTTTCTTCATAGGAGAGGGGCCGCATCCCTCTGATCATTTCTGTAGCCCTCCTCTGGACCCGCTCCAACAGGTCCACATCTATCCTGCGCTGAGGGCTCCAGACCTGGATGCAGTACTCCAGGTGAGGTCTTACCAGAACAGAGTAGAGGGGCAGGGTCACCTCCCTTGACCTGCTGGCCACGCTTCTTTTGATGCAGCCCAGGAAACAGCTGGCTTTCTGGGCTGTGAGCACACATTGCCAGCTCATATCCAGCTTTTCATCCAAAATTTGGATG